GCAAGTCCCCTCCTTCATGTGGGCAAAAAGGAGGCACTTTTAAATCTCACTGTGCCCCTGCTTCAATGTATTCCCCTTCCCAGCCCAAGCCAGGGCATGCAGAGAAAGGGAAGGGTCTCACAGCTATCTGCTTCTGCCTGCACATAGTGATCCTCCTGGAACTTTTGCAAGAAGCAGTTTCAGCTAAACTGGCTCGTTTTCATGCTTTCCTTTTTAATTTCCCATTAAAGGGCAATCTCTTGAAAACAAAAAAGGTTTAAAAAAAAAAACCAAACCCAAGAAAGAAAAGGGATGCCTGACTGAGCAGGAGCATGGCCCAGCCATTCAGAAGTTCGGCAGCACCGTGAAAGCTCGGCTGGGATTACAGAGCACACAAAAGGTAAGAAACCCTGGAAACGCAGGGTATAAATGGGAGGAACTCACAGCTCAGGGCGTGTAAACTGAGCTGTGCCGAGCTTGACTGGAAAGCAAAGAAACCAGGAAAAACGAACCCATGTGAACTTTGATTAGATAACAGACACTCCTACTACAGAGCCTGCACAAAGAGCCACTTGCAACTTCTTTTTTTTTTTTTTTTAGCCCGTTTTGTGTCAAAAAAGTAAGTTAACATAAACAGGAACTGGAGGAAAACTGCAGAAAGCCGGAGAAAAATGAAGGAGGTGCAAAAAGCCCCGTGGCATCCAAAAGCCTGGACTGAGCCACTCCCTGACCTGCAGGAACAGAGCAGAACATGCCAACAGTCGCCCGGTCCCTGTTTCAGGAGCCTCCTTTGGCTTTGGGAGAGGATAGCTACATGCACAGGGTGCTAAAGTCATCCCTATTTTCCAGCAATTCCTGCAGAGAGCTTTACTCCGGAGGGTACCTGCAACACTCCTCTCCCCCTCCAGCAGCAAACACCAAAACCCTGCAGAGCCAGCTACTTCTAAAGCCTGCAAAGGAGAGAAATGAGGAGCAAACCTTGCAGGACAGTGTGGTGCCTTCACTGCTCAGGCTTCGGCCAAGCTGCGCTTTTAGATTCTCTTGCTGTGGACTTGAAGGAAAGGCTGAAGTCCAGGCAGTTTGCCACAGCTCTTGCACCACTGACCTTTACACCTGCACTCCCCACCCTGTGTGCTTATATGCACTGGAAGAAAGTTCCCAACCTCCCTGCCAGATGAAAATCCAGACTTTAATCCCAAGAGGAACATGCTTGCAGGGATTCCGACGCTGCAGTTGGCTGCTGCCCCAGCCCAGGCAGCAGCTTGTGCTGGCCCATCCCCTTGTGTGCTGCCTGTGCTGGGCAGGTACTCACTTGACATCCTGGGAAAAATCAGCAAAACACGCTCCCTTTGGAGCAGATGGCAGGGACTGGGGACATGGAGCACAGTGCAGCCTAATTTTGGGGAGTAATAAAACCCACAGCACCTGCTGGCACAGCCCCAGCCCAGTCACAGTCCCCTCCAGCTCTTCACGTGCACACAGGGAGATGAGGAGGGAGCACATACTCTTGCCACAGATTTTGAAATTTTATTGATTTAAAGTCTCTCCATGCACAAAACAAAAGTCTCAGAATTATCTGGTGGTGGTGAGTTCAGGGAAGAAAAGCCAGGAGTGCTCAGCCTTGCATGGTACCAGCTCCAGTCTCAGGGGTGACAAACCACCACAACCAGAGCCCTTTCGCTGGAAAGATGCACCAATTCAACCCAAAGTGAGATTTTTGGGTCATGGGGTTTAAGTTTGGAAAAAGAGACAGCCTGACCTGTGTATGCAGCCCAAGTAACTCCTTCCTGGACTCAAGATCCCAGTTCCTGGGTGAGCTGGGGCAGAGCTACAGACCTGTGCACCTTTCCATCCATCATACACAAAGGCACTTCTGCTAATCTTCTCCTTGCTGCATCCTGGTCAGTGTGATCCAGACATAGTTATGAGACAAAGCCAGACCCTGCTCCTGACAGTGAGCAGGAGAGCAGAGAGGCAACAGACACTGGGGTAAGGCTGCCATTCCTGGCTACTGGGGTCTGCAAAGCTGTACTTGGGGGTGAGCTTGAGCAGAGAGAGGTTTGTGCTGCAGATTGCAGTTTAGAATTTGTTGCCATCTGCTGAAGTCCTTTTCCCCCTGTCCCACGGCACACTGTGGAGCTGTCTGACCTGAGATAACATCTCCCAGGACAAGAGAACACACACACAAAAAAAAAAGCCCGAAACAGGCCCTGAAAGCTAGTGGAAAATCAAAAATCACAGCAGCCAGGAGCAAGAGGAACCCCACCACAGCCAGGAGAGAAGGGAAAGAACTGTGGGAACCAGCAGGGACTCGTGTTCTCGTGGGTTTCAGGGTCCGGTCCCACTGGGTGAGGATGGCCTGGCGTGCCCCCTCCCAGCAGCCAGGGCCTCCCAGTCGGTACTGGTAGGGGGTGCAGGGACCAAAGAAAATGGTGAGGGCCAGCTGGGGGTCTCTGCAGAGCAACCCCAGCACATTGGGCTTGACACCGATGAAGGAGGCAAGTGTGTCCATGTAGGCCAGCCATTCGGTTTTGAGAACTTCATCAAAGGACAGACCAAACCTTAATGAATTGGAGAAGGAAAAGAGG